AACATGCCTACTCAAAACGCAGTACAAGCCATTGTAGATAGAAGACTCAAGATATGCAATTACTTTGTTATAACCTGAAGACAACCTTTTCTCGCCTGGATCTGTTCTTGCAGCATACCATAAATAGGGTCAAACAGATGAACAAGCTCGAACACTCTGTGCCTCCGAGCTAGCGATGAATAATGTACGAAGTTACGAAGAAAGCATCTATATTGTGGTAACTTACATATAGGAGGACTCCGATGGCGGCCCCCGAACGGGACTAGCGCCAATCCGCTCGATTAAAATTTAACTCCGAGCACATGTTCCTGACTCCATCACTGGTGTTGTCATTCTCATTCTTTTTGGTCTTTCTTAAAAAAAATAGAAAATATGTCTCCTGCTATTGCCGCCGGTGCTGGCGCCGCCTCTAAGGATGTCAAGAAGGAGTCTGCCACTGCTCGTCTCCTTGGTTCCGGTATGTCGTCGACGTGAACATGAACCCAACCTATTGCTGACCTGCGACTCCTCTAGGCTCTGCCGGTATCGCCGAGTTGATGATCTTCCACCCCGTACGACCTATGTCCCCCGGATTCTAGAGCCATTGCGACCTGACACTGACACCTCCCACAGGTTGATACCACCGCCAAGCGATTGATGAGCAACCAGACTCGGGTGAGATTGAGATGATATGCAATTCGGATGTATCTGTCGCTGACTGCGCTCTTCACAGATCACCAATGCTACCGCTTTCAAGGAGGTCGTCTTCAAGGAGTACGCCAACGCTTCTGTCGCCCGCAAGTTCACCTCTCTGTTCCCCGGTCTTGGTTACGCCGCCGGTTACAAGGTTTGTGACTCCTCTGGATCCAACATGGAGGGGCATACAGCTTACATGATTCTGAATCCCTAGGTTCTTCAGCGTATCTACAAGTACGGTGGTCAGCCTTTCGCACGCGACTACCTGGCCCAGCACCACGGCGCCGACTTCGATAAGGCCTTCGGCAAGGGTACAGGCAAGGCTATTATGCACGCCACTGCTGGAAGGTAAGACGGATTGGATTATTGGACGAGGAATTTTGTTACTAACTCAATCAACCAGTTTGATCGGTATTGGAGAGATCGTCCTCCTCCCTCTCGATGTGCTGAAGATTAAGCGTCAGACCAACCCCGAGGCCTTCCGTGGCCGTGGCCTTTTCAGGATTATCGCTGATGAGGGTATGGGTCTTTACCGCGGCGCTGGCTGGACTGCCGCCCGTAACGCCCCTGGCTCTTTTGCTCTCTTCGGTGGTTCCGCCTTCGCCAAGGAGTACATCTACAAACTGAGCGACTACAACGCCGCCAGCTGGGGCCAGAACTTTGTCGCCTCCGTCTGCGGTGCCAGTGCCTCCCTGGTTGTCTCCGCTCCGCTGGACGTGATCAAAACCCGTATTCAGAACCGCAACTTCGAGCACCCCGAGTCTGGCTTCAAGATTGTCTCGAAGATGCTCAAGCACGAGGGCCCCACCAGTTTCTTCAAGGGCTTGACCCCCAAGCTGCTGATGACTGGTCCCAAGCTGGTCTTCAGCTTCTGGCTGGCACAGACTTTGATTCCCGCTTTCGGTCAAGTTGTATAGAGACTTCTGTTTCATAATTGTTGCAAGATCCCCCCATTTTCTCTCTTCTTTTCGGACTAGGTCAATTCCCCAGGCCGTTTTTGTATTTCTCATAGACATGTTTATTTTCCCACGGGGGTCTACCTAGCTTATATTTCCGGAATGCGACGAACTCACTCTACTTACTACAACATGGACAAATTGTGTACAATTGTGCAAGATAATATCAACTTATAAAAAGAGGTGTAATGAATTCTATTTCTGTTCAAATGACATGGATTCTATTGCTCATATAGGCGCAAATGACCACAAGAAGAAGGGATGTATGGTGGGAATATCAACATAAAAACCAATGTAACAATGAAAAAGGCGCAACTGTAAATGTAAAAGCATGTCTCTCGGGTTTATACGGCATTCTATTGACCGGCAACAGCACTTCTTTGCTTTGCTAGCCAGCCCTTGGAGTCTCCTGTGCTGGCTCCATGTCGATATCGTGATACTGTCATGTTGTTGTTCTGCCATCGGCTCTGAAGGTGATACCAAGCCGAGCCTACGAGGCTCAGTTCTCGCGCTTGGCTATCAATAATCTTCTGGAGTTCAAGCTAAAGAACAACATTAGCATACTGCTATAGACCGGCGGAGAAAGGGGCATTGATTAGCGACTTACCTCTCTTTCTTTGGGAATACCATCGTCCAGGTTCTCTTCGTAGTTCTTCATACGCTCACGCAGCGACTTGACGAGTTCGTTTTGTTGCTGGATATACTATACGCCCAAGCGCAGGTTAGCACACCGGATATCAAGGAGCATTGATGAGAGTAAAGGACTGACCTCTGCACGTTGAGCAAGTCTCTCAACATTCTTCTCCAGTACTCCAGCGCACTGTTTCAAGAGGTCGAAGCTCGATTTCTGGGGTACCTCCCCGCCTTCGTTGTGAGTCTCAAACTCGCCTAGGAGCATCTGCATCTCTTTCATCACTTCTTGGTCCTCAGAGCTGATTTCGCTTTGCTTGTTGTCGAGCATCTTGCGCAGCTCCTCTCGCTCTGCGCAAACTTCGCGCACTAGAGTTTGGCTAGCATCGACCTCGGCCTCCAAGTGATGGACATTATGGGTGAGACTATCCCAATCACCCCGAAGTTTCGTCAATTCAGCTGAGTTGTGCTCTTCCAGGCCGCGAAGCATGTCGATTTGCTCTTTGTTGACAAGGCCAACTTTGAGATTGTAAGCAATGGGTACTTAGAAGGGCACGAAGTAATGGCTGACTTACGTTCGGCCTGTGTATCTGAAAGGTCCTTTTTGGCTATTTCCAAGGTATCTTGGACCTCTGCAATCTTTTTGAGGGCCCCAGTGTAATTCTCGTAGAGTTTCCAGTACTCGTCACTGTAGAAAAGGTTAGAAATATCACACAAAGAAACGCTTATGGTATTACCTCTGTGTAGAATTGGCGCGTGCCAGCTGCACAGACGCAGCAAAGCTCCCAGAGAAGCCTTCTGCGTGGGATTCCGGCTGATAATGGTCAGTCTCAACCGAATATAGTAAGTAGATAGTTGACTTACGGCAGTCGAAGGTGCCTTGAGGGAATCCATTTCCCGCTTCAGGTCATCATTCTCAGATTTGCTGTAAAATGGTTAGCATCAGACAAGAAGCCAAAGGTAACTTATATACATACAGCTGAGATTCTTTGACACCGATGGCCTCAAAGTCCTTATGTAATGTTCCTTGCATCTTCGGTGTCTCAGAGCCAGGAGACGGACTGCCTGGCAAGCCGTCCATTTCTCCGAGGCGCTCACGTAGTTCGCTGATCAAAGCATCGTCCCTTTCATGCTGTTCGTCTGCACTTTGCAGTCGTTCTGTTAGAGCGTGGTTGTTGAACTCAAGCTGTTTCTTGAGGTTTTGGATCTCGTTGCATTCCTGCTCAATGCGTGGCAGAAGCTTGCGATATTCCTCCAATTCCACATCGCGCTCTGAGGACCATCGCTGCTGCGAGTCTGAATCCTTCAGTTGTTGCTGAATGTCTTTGATCTGATTCTTGAGAGTCTGGTTCTCTTTCTCGAAGTCTTGGCTGGCTTGCAGCTTCTGGCGGTATTTCTCAGCCGCGTTAGCCTTGCGCGCAAGCTGATCCTTCTCAGTCCGGAGCTCATCATAGTCATCTTGTAGTTTCTGATAGCGTTGGTTCTTGACCCGCAAGGACTCGACTGTCATCCGAAGACTGTCAATCTCGTCTTGTGCGGCGGTCAATTTCGCTTCTTGGGACGCAATGAGATCATCCTGCTGACGAGTTTTGCTTTCCAATGCCTTTGCATTGAACCCGACATCGCCCTTTCCAGATTTCAATGTGACAAGCCGGTCCTCGGTGGAAGCAAGGCGGTTTTGGAGGGTATCGTTGTTTTCTTGGAGACGCGCCAGGCGGTTGTGCAAGTCCTCCAGTGCCTTCTCCAGCTCCTTTTTCTCGTGTGTCAGGCGATCGTTCTCCGCAAGAACCTTTCCCACGCGCTCTTCGAACTGCAGTTCGAGGTCCACGGGACGATCGCGTTTGGCCAAGTCTTCCCGGAGCTCATCTGCAGCGTCCATCGGTTCATGTTGGCCATTATGCGCCTCCTCGATTATATCTTTGAGTCCCTCTTGTGTTGAAGTGCTTAGTTCCTGGAGGGTTTGCACGTATGTTCCAGCGTTCGGGGAGCTGATAGCCGCGATCAGGAGAAGCTTCAGCAGCTTGTTCGTCTCCTTGCCGGACGACTTTTCGGCAATCGCTTCGAGATCAGGCGACGGATCGAGGCCGGAGGGTAAGGTGTCATCGTTTTGGTGCCGAATGTAGTTGAGTAAAAGCTTGTGGATGTGCTTCAAGTTCTGCCACTTGGCCACCCAATGGTCGGATGGGTTGCGCTCTGGGATCTCCTCGAGGAAATACTGAGGGTCAATGTCCTGGAGGATTTCCCATAGGATAATCCCATCGGTCAATTCATCGGTGGCTCGGAGTGTCTTGCCCAACGAAAAGCTGTTGATCCATTCCAACAAAACCTTGGTGACCATATGTTCCGACGCCATGCTGGCGATATTGACGCGTTTCAAAGAGTCAAAAAACCCTGAGACTACAGCATCCAGACGAAGCGAGGAAGTGCCTTTGGTTTCAAGGGAGTGTCGGATCCACGCGCGTCGGGGGGTGCCAAAGGACCGAACTCGACTAGCGGGGGATGATCGTCTCCAGTCTCCAGTCTCTACGAAGTAACTCGAGTACTTTAAATCATACAATTGGGACAATAAATCCACGTTACCTAAATACCAAAATATAACGCCCTGAATCCAAGAGCCGTATAGGCAAAACCAACTCCACATAAACACCAAAACACCCTAGTTCTCAATGCTGAACCTCCATATGTCTAGAGCCAGCTCGGGCGTCAACTTCAACCCCAGTGTGTCTTAGCGCAAGATATTTAAAATGCTCCAACATCGCCCACGTAGTCTCCGTTCGCAGTAACAACTTTATCTTCCTCGATGTCCGGCTTGTACCGGGTGTCTTGTGTGGCGAGGGTCTGGAGAGCATTCACAGGAGCCTCGGCAGCGAAACCACTAGATGCATGGTTAGATATTGATGATATGTATGAATAGGCATTGCAAAGATTGTGAGGATTGCAAGAATCGTAAGAAATGACGGGGATCATACTTGATTAAATCTATAGAGAGCATCAGCATCAATGTGGTACACATCTAGAACCAGAGTGGGACTTACGGTATTCATGAGTGATAACACCACCCTAAAAGTGTCAGTAAACAATCACAACAGCCTCATGAAAGCAGAGGTGCACTGCGTACAGAAGCCACCAGAGAATCCTTGGCCTGCGTAACGACCGAGTCAGGCGTTCCCTTGGGGAAAGTCACGATGACAGACTTGAGCACTTTGGCAGCCAGCACCATGGGCAGAGCACCCAGCAGGATTACAGCAAGAGATAGCTTCATTGTGAGTATCCAAAGAATATCAAGTTGAGCAACAACCTTGAAGGGAACTGAGAAGTTGAAAGCGAAAGCGGCTGCGTCATACACAGATCACATGACCCGACAATCCCTTTCTCTTCGGCGCTTCCTACTTCTTTCGCGCCCCTCTTCGACATCTTTCCTTTAACTCTACAGCGCTGCATTCTCGTATATCCCTGTCTCTACACCCTCGCTATCCCGTTTAATTCTCAGCATCTTGGTGGTTATTTTTCCTTGGGACGCGAAACGGCACCATTTCTTCCCTCTTCCGGCGATCATTGGCTTGAAGGACGGTAGATACACAAGGTCTCTGGAAGGTCACGGGCTGGATTGGACTGAGGGCAAGCGTCATCCTTTTGTTTCAGGTTCTCGCGAAGATAGCTAGCAAGCATTTACAAGTTCCGTCTATTTCTCCATCTTGTGTTGATCGTCCAAGAGAACCTGTTCCTTGGAACGAGGACGAGGATTAAGAAGAAAAGCAAGCGATAGTTGCAACGGAGAAAAGAAGCCACCAGAGAACAATCCGAAGCGAATCCCATTGGGAGAAAAGGAAAGAAGGAAAAAAAGAGAGAGAAAAGAACAGAAGTGAGAGAGACAACTCAATTCTACAGGACCCTCGTGAACGCCTCGCAGTATCGAAGATTCTCTCGGCAACCTCTTCACAAACCCTCCCCCTCCACAAGCCCAAGTCGAATCTTCCATATCCCATCATGTCTGGTCTCATTTCTGACGAGATCGCTGAGGACTACAAGAGCTCTCTAGAGGACTTGGTCACGAACGATGCCTCCCAAATCCGCAACCTGACCGTCATCGCCAAGGAGAACACAGAATATGCACAGGCTATCTCCCGGGTCTTGGAAAATCACATTCGCTCAGTAGGTGCTCCTCTCGCGCGTAGCTTGAGATGATTCTAACCTCTGTAGATACCACCACCTCACAAGCTCCCAGCCCTCTATGTAGTCGATTCCATTGTCAAGAACATTGGTAGTCCCTATACACTCTTCCTGGGCCGAAATATGTTTCCGACCTTCATGGATGCATACTCATCGGTGGATGCGATGACTCGAAAGAAGCTGGATGAGATGCTCAACACATGGAAGCAGCCAGCCCCGGGCTCCCTCGATACTCGCCCCGTTTTCCCTCCTGAGATCACACGCAACATCGAAAGTGCCCTGATCAAGGCGCGCACTGCAGCTCTACAACAGCAACAGGCTAGAAGCCAAACGGACCTTCTTGGCCGTCGCGGAAATACAACTCCAACTGGGTGGAACAACGGCCCGTCTCAGAACATGTCTCGGCACCCCCAGTATTCCAATAACAGCCATACCTCGGTGAGACCTCTCTCGCCCTGACTCTACGTTCAAGCTAACCTGAGTTTCAGACACCTCCCATGAGCAATCGAGACATTGATCTGAATTACCTCAACCGAGACTTGGATGGGTTGATTGCTTCTGCGAGGAACGACTTTGCCAATAGTCCATTCAACCCTGCTTGTCAACAACGCTTGAAAGCGTTGCTAGATCTCCAGGGTATTCTACAGAGGCAGCAGCTAACCCAGGAACAGTTGAAACTTGTCCGCGACCAGATCTCCATGCTTGCCGCCACCAAACCACCGTCTCCCCCTAACGCTACTTCGAATGGTCCCGTAGCTCCTCCACAAATCCCTGCTCCGCCCGTGCAGCCAGTCTCGCAACCCTTTCAAAACCTGTTGAACCCCGGAACTCTCGCTGAACTGATCAAAGCTACCGCTTCGCGTCAGCACCCAACTCCTCCTCCTCAAATCCCCGCTGCGCTGCCTCAGATGCCCACTCCTCAACCAAGCAGCACTCCACAGCCAGCCGCACCGGAGAACCCTCTGATCGCGGCGTTAAGGGCGCGTGGTTTTCTACCTGGTGGTTCCACACCCCTCGTGTCTTCGAGTTCAACACCGGTTCCTGGGCCTGCACTGCCGTTCATGATGCCCAATGGCATGCGATCTACGCCTCCCGCCCTCCCCACTCAAGCACCTCCCTCCAATGGCTCATCTGGTGTTCCCATGAACACCGCGTCTATGAAAATCCCCCGACCTGGACTCATTGTCTCCCTCTATGACTCGAGGTCAAACAGATGTGGAACTTGCGGCCGTCGATTCTTTGCTACAGAGGAAGGAAAGGAGGTGAAGGCACGCCATCTGGATTGGCACTTCAAGACTAACCAGCGCATGACGGAGGCTTCCAGGCGAGCCCAGACCCGTAGCTGGTACGTCGACGAAAGGGTATGCTCATCTCTTCTTCTAGATATACCATAGTATCTTTCTAACCCTGGATAGGACTGGATCAAATCTCGCGAAGCGGGCGATGACAACGGTGCTCTGGATTCTCAGGCTACCGAAGGTGCCGAAGGCATAGATGGCAATTCCAAGCAAGAGCCCCCCAAACCCTGGATCCGGGCTCCGAACGATGCCACGCTCCGCAACACCCCATGCCCTATCTGTCAGGAGAAGTTCGAGTCGACCTGGTCTGAGGATGTTCAGGACTGGATCTGGCAAGATGCTACTAAAGTGGGAACTCGTGTATACCATGCCAGTTGTTACGCCGAAGTGACCAAAGATGGCCCTGCACCAGCGCGTAGTGCTATGCCGCAAGCGCGCACTGGCACGCCGGATTCAGTGCTGGGCAAGCGCAAAGCTGAAGTAAGTTGCAAGAGACTCTCTTACACAATTCAACGCTAACTTTGCATAGGGAAATGAGTCTCCAGGTCAAAAAACGCGTGTCAAGATGGAACAGGCTTGATTTTTGTAACATACCCACATATTTCGCATGATTCTTGCATTACATAGGGAAAATCTCCCTGGCGTTTAGCGAATTGATCTATGTTGTATTTCACACCATTGTAGCTGTATATCTGACATGACGTTGCTCTCTGTGGAATTCTGCCCCGCTCGGAGCATGTCCGGAGCTCATTTCTCCACTGATTATAAATATTCAATATAAATACGACGTTGCAACTTGCCAGGGACTCTTCAATCTTACATCTTCGGGTTCTTGTTTCTGTGTCTGTACGAAACTACACTTATCATGGCGCCGCATGTTGTTCGGTGGGGTATCATGGGTAGGCAGACGACGTTCAAGACAAGAGAATGAAGCTAACTCATTGATAGCCACTGGCTGGATCGCTGAGAGTAGGCTCACTTCAATGCCATTAGATGTATAGAAATCACCTAACCACTGCCGGCAGTGTTCACCAAGGACCTTCTCAACGACCCAACCCTCCGTGATGTCTTCGATGTAGCCCACCAAGTCGTTGCTGTCGCCTCGTCTTCCTCCAAGGCAAAGGCCGAGGAATTTATCGCAGCTAGGGGCATCACAACCGCCTGCTCCGCCTACGGCGACTACGAGTCACTCGTGGCCGATCCCAATGTCGATGTCATCTACGTCGCAACCCCACACTCCCATCACTACCAGAACGTCAGACTGATATTGGAGGCCGGCAAGAATGTTCTGTGCGAAAAGGCGTTTACCGTCAATGCTGCGCAGACTAAGATCCTAGTCGATATCGCCCGCGAGAAGAACCTCTTCTTGATGGAAGCTGTCTGGACTCGCTACTTCCCGCTCAGCATTCAGATTCGCGAGCTCATTCAGAAGGGCGAGATTGGCGAGGTGCTTCGTGTCATTGCTGATACAAGCTTTGGTGATGATGTCGAGACGAAATGGGGTACAAAGCACCGTATGGTGAACCCTGATCTGGCCGGTGGTGCTCTTTTGGACTGTAAGTTCCCAAGATGATGATATACACTTGCGCAGAATCCCTTATGCTGACTGGGAGGGTTTAGTGGGAATCTATTCTCTCACCTGGGTTTTCCAGACTCTCTACCACACTTTGCCTCGAGACCAGAGGAAGGCGCCTACTGTCTCAGCACAGGTCACTCCCTACCACCTCACCGGTGCTGATGAGTCCACCACCATGCTCTTGAATTTCCCCACAAGCACTCCTTCCAATGGCCCACACCCAAAGCAATCGCACGGTGTGGCCATGACTAACATCCGTGTTTCTACTGATCCCGACGAGAAGGGATCTGCTGGCCCTGCTATCCGGATTCAGGGCACCAAGGGTGAGATTCAGGTTCCTGGTCCGGCATTCCGCCCTGAGTCTTATCGTATTGTTCCCAAGAAGGGTGGCGGCGAGGTTCGTGAGGTCCAGTGCCCGTTCCCTAACAATGGCCACGGCATGTTCTGGGAGGCTGATGAGGTTGCACGTTGTCTCCGAGACGGCAAGAAGGAGAGTGAAGGCTTGCCATTGGACGAGAGTATTGTGATCATGGAAGTCATGGATGAGGTGCGCAAGCAGGGTGGTTTGACTTACCCTCAGAAGATCGAGTCGACTGAATACCCTGTACAGCTGTAGGAGCTGACATATACACGAGACATGTAAATACGGCTAGAAGATATCACCTTACTGAATCAAAGGTACGTATCTACGAAATAAAGAACATTGGAATGTATGCCGGTTGAGTGTATTCGGTACTCAAAGGTACACACATACTACTATACATGGCGGTCAAGGGGGATAAGTCCAGGTCTATATGTGGACAAAAACGCCAGCCAGCAAAGTGCCCCCAATTAAAGAAACCAACATAAGAAAACGGTAGGCAGCTTGACTGGCAAATTGTCCTAAATTACCCCCCAGTATCCTTTTTAAATGCAATTGAACCTCCCAAATCGTTTACTGGCGGAAGACACCGAGGATGCTCTTCCACACCTGGCCGGGCTCCTGGCTGGCATCAATGCCGCGCCAGATACCGGTCTTCTTGTAGTAGTCGACAACGGGGGTGGTCTGGGCGTGGTAGGTGGCCAAACGCTTGGTCAGAGTGTCGGCGTTGTCATCGGAACGCTGGATCAGCGGTTCGCCGGAGATGTCGTCCTTCATGTCATCCTTGGGCGGGTTGAAGATCTTGTGGTACGAACGACCGGAGGCAGGGTGAATCAGACGGCCAGTGATACGAGCCA